CATCACCTGCCCGGCTGGGCGAGACAGGTGAGGGGGAACCCGGAAATGCAAAAAATCCCGAAAAAATCCCCAAAAAAATGGCCGAAATAGGGCAAAAAATGGGTAAAAATGGGTCAAAACGCACCTGGGCACAGGTGGCACAGCCCAACCTGCACCACCGCTCACCTGGGACGCATCACCTGCCCGGGTGGGCGAGACAGGTGAGGGGCGCACCTGGGGGGACCCGGAAACGCAAAAAATCCTGAAAAAAAACACCAAAAAATGGCTGAAATAGGGCCAAAAATGGGTAAAAATGGGTCAAAATGCACCTGGGCACAGGTGGCACAGCTCAACCTGCACCACTGCTCACCTGGGACCCATCACCTGCCCAGGTGGGTGAGACAGGTGAGGGGCGCACCTGGGGGGACCCGGAAACGCAAAAAATCCCGAAAAAAACCACCAAAAAATGGCCCAAATAGGGCAAAAAATGGGTAAAAATGGGTCAAAATGCACCTGGGCACACCTGGGCACAGGTGGCACAGCCCAACCTGCACCAGCGCTCACCTGGGACGCGTCACCTGCCCAGGTGGGCGAGACAGGTGAGGGGCGCACCTGGGAGAACCCGGAAACGCAAAAAATCCTGAAAAAAAACACCAAAAAATGATCGAAATAGGGCAAAAAATGGCCGAAATAGAGCCAAAAATGGGTCAAAACACACCTGGCACAGGTGGCACAACCCAACCTGCACCAGCGCTCACCTGGGACGCATCACCTGCCCAGGTGGGCGAGACAGGTGAGGGGGGACCCAAAATGGCAGAAAATCCCGAAAAAATCCCCAAAAAAATGGTCAAAATAGGGCAAAAAATGGCCGAAATAGAGCCAAAAATGGGTCAAAACACACCTGGAGCAGCCCAACCTGCACCAGCGCTCACCTGGCACCCATCACCTGCCCAGGTGGGTGAGACAGGTGAGGGGCGCACCTGAGGGGACCCGGAAACGCAAAAAATCCCGAAAAAACCCACCAAAAAATGGCCGAAATAGGGCAAAAAATGGGTAAAAATGGGTCAAAATGCACCTGGGCACACCTGGGCACAGGTGGCACAGCTCAACCTGCACCAGCGCTCACCTGGGACGCATCACCTGCCCAGGTGGGCGCGACAGGTGAGGGGGGACCTGGAAATGCAAAAAATCCCAAAAAAATCCCCAAAAAAATGATCGAAATAGGGCAAAAAATGGCCGGAATAGGGCCAAAAATGGGTCAAAACACACCTGGAACAGCTCAACCTGCACCACCGCTCACCTGGGACGCATCACCTGCCCGGCTGGGCGAGACAGGTGAGGGGGAACCCGAAATGGCAGAAAATCCCAAAAAAATCCCCAAAAAAAATGATCAAAATAGGGCAAAAATGGCCTAAATAGGGCCAAAAATGGGTCAAAACACACCTGGCACAGCTCAACCTGCACCACCGCTCACCTGGGACGCATCACCTGCCCGGCTGGGCGAGACAGGTGAGGGGGAACCGAAAACGCAAAAAATCCCCAAAAAATCCCCCAAAAAAATGGCCGAAATAGGGCAAAAAATGGCCAAAATAGGGCCAAAAATGGGTCAAAACACACCTGGAACAGCTCAACCTGCACCAGCGCTCACCTGGGACGCATCACCTGCCCGGCTGGGTGAGACAGGTGAGGGGGGACCCAAAATGGCAGAAAATCCCAAAAAAATCCCCAAAAAAATGATCGAAATACGGCAAAAAATGGCCGAAATCAACCCAAAAATGGCTGAAATCGACCCAAAAATGACCAAAATCGACCCAAAAATGGCTGAAATCGACCCAAAAATGGCCAAAATCGACCCAAAAATGGCCGAAATCGAGCCCAAAAATGGCCGAAATCAACCCAAAAATGGCTGAAATCGACCCAAAAATGGCCGAAATCGACCCAAAAATGGCTGAAATCGAGCCAAAAATGGCTGAAATCGACACAAAAATGGCTGAAATCGACCCAAAAATGACCAAAATCGACCCAAAAATGGCCGAAATCGACGCAAAAATGGGTCAAAATGGACCCAAAAATGACCAAAATGGACCCAAAAATGGCCGAAATCGAGCCAAAAATGGCCGAAATCGACCCAAAAATGACCAAAATCGACCCAAAAATGGCCGAAATCGACCCAAAAATGACCAAAATGGGAATTTTTTGGAATTTCGGCAATTTCTCTGTGGGAATTTTGGTTGGGAATTTTGGGTTATCCCGGTGGGAATTTTGGGTGGGAATTTCGGGGAATTTCCAGGTGGGAATTTCGGGAATTTTGCAAATTTCAGGTGGCAATTTTTGGAAATTTCAGGAATTTCCGGGTGGGAATTTTCGGGAATTTTCAGGAATTTTGCGTGGGAATTTTCGGGAATTTTGAGTGGGAATTTTTGGGAATTTCGGGAATTTCAGGTGGGAATATTTGGGAATTTTGGGTGGGAATTTTGGGAATTTCAGGTGTAAATTTTTGGGAATTCTGAGAATTTTTTTGAATTTCAGGTGGGAATTTTGGGAATTTCGGGTGGGAATTCCGGGAATTTCGTGTGGGAATTTTTGGGAATTTTGGGTGGGAATTTTGGAAATTTGGGTGGGAATATTTGGGAATTTCGGGTGGGAATTTTCGGGAATTTCTGTGTGGGAATTTTTGGGAATTTCTTGTGGGAATTTCTTGTGGGAATTTTCGGGAATTTCAGGTGGGAATTTTTGGGAATTTTGGGAATTTCAGGTGTAAATTTTTGGGAATTCTGAGAATTTTTTTGAATTTCAGGTGGGAATTTTGGGAATTTTGTGTGGGAATTTTCGGGAATTTCGGGTGGGAATTCCGGGAATTTTGGGTGGGAATTTTTGGGAATTTCATGTGGGAATTTTTTTGAATTTCGGGTGGGAATTTTGGGAATTTCGGGTGGGAATTTTGGGAATGTCAGGTGGGAATTTTCGGGAATTTCGGGTGGGAATTTTCGGGAATTTCGGGTGGGAATTCCGGGAATTTTGGGTGGGAATTCTGTGTGGGAATTTTCGGGAATTTCGGGTGGGAATTTTGGGAATTTCGGGTGGGAATTCCGGGAATTTCGGGTGGGAATTTTCGGGAATTTCGGGTGGGAATTTTCGGGAATTTCAGGTGGGAATTTTGGGAATTTCAGGTGGGAATTTTCGGGAATTTCGGGTGGGAATTTTCGGGAATTTCGGGTGGGAATTTTCGGGAATTTCCGTGTGGGAATTTTTGGGAATTTCTTGTGGGAATTTCTTGTGGGAATTTTCGGGAATTTCAGGTGGGAATTTTCGGGAATTTCAGGTGGGAATTTTTGGGAATTTTGGGTGGGAATTTTGGGAATTTCAGGTGTAAATTTTTGGGAATTCTGGGAATATTTTGGAATTTTGGGTGGGAATTTTGGGAATTTCGGGTGGGAATTCCGGGAATTTCGTGTGGGAATTTTTGGGAATTTTGGGTGGGAATTTTGGAAATTTGGGTGGGAATATTTGGGAATTTTGGGTGGGAATTTTGGGAATTTCAGGTGTAAATTTTTGGGAATTCTGGAAATTTTTTTGGAATTTTGGGTGGGAATTTTGGGAATTGTGGGTGGGAATTTTCGGGAATTTCATGTGGGAATTTTCAGGAATTTCGTGTGGGAATTTTCGGGAATTTCTTGTGGGAATTTTTGGGAATTTCGGGTGGGAATTTTCGGGAATTTCGGGTGGGAATTCCGGGAATTTTGGGTGGGAATTTTTTGGAATTTCAGGTGGGAATTTTGGGAATTTCGTGAGGGAATTTTCGGGAATTTCCGTGTGGGAATTTTCGGGAATTTCAGGTGGGAATTTTCGGGAATTTCGGGTGGGAATTCCGAGAATTTCGTGTGGGAATTTTCGGGAATTTCGGGTGGGAATTTTCAGGAATTTCAGGTGGGAATTTTCGGGAATTTCGGGTGGGAATTTTGGGAATTTTGGGTGGGAATTCTGGGAATTTCGGGTGGGAATTTTCGGGAATTTCTTGTGGGAATTTTCGTGAATTTCGGGTGGGAATTTTTGAAATTTGGGTGGGAATTTTCGGGAATTTCAGGTGGGAATTTTTGGGAATTTTGGGAATTTCAGGTGTAAATTTTTGGGAATTCTGAGAATTTTTTTGAATTTCAGGTGGGAATTTTGGAAATTTCGGGTGGGAATTCCGGGAATTTCGTGTGGGAATTTTTGGGAATTTTGGGTGGGAATTT